ATGCCACGCCTGTTGTGCCCTGGACGAGAGGCGCGCATAGGGAGACCACCCCCTGGGCCGAAAGAATGCCACGCCTGCTGTGCCCTGGACGACAGGCGCGCACAGGGAGACCACCCCCTGCGCACACCCTCGTGGGGTCGAGAGCATGCCACGCCTGCTGTGCCCTGGACGAGAGGCGCACATAGGGAAACCACCCCCTGCGCACCCCTTTGTGGGGTCGAAAGAGGGCCACGCCTGCTGTTCCCTGGACGAGAGGCGCGCATAGGGAGACCACCCCCTGCGCACCCCCTTGTGGGGTCGAAAGAGAGCCACGCCTGTTGTGCCCGAAAAGAGAGGCGCGCATAGGGAGACCACCCCCTGCACACCCCCTTATGGGGTCGAGAGCATGCCACGCCTGCGACGAGAGGCGCGCATAGGGAGACCACCCCCTGCGCACCCCCTTTGATGGGGTCGAGAGCATGCCACGCCTGCTGTGCCCTGGACGAGAGGCGCGCATAGGGAGACCACCCCCTGCGCACCCCCTATGGGGTCGAGAGCATGCCACGCCTGCTGTGCCCTGGACGAGAGGCGCGCATAGGGAGACCACCCCCTGCGCACCCCCACAGGGCCGAGAGAAGGCCATGCCTGCTGCGCTCTGGCCTGGTGCTGTGCTGAGCTGTGCTGTGTTGTGCTGTGCTGTGCTCAGCTGAGCTGAGCTGTGCTGTGCTGTGCTGTGCTGAACTGAGCTGAGCTGCGCGAAGCTGTGCCGAGCTGAGCTGGGCTGAGCTTAGCTGAGCTGAGCTGTGCTGAGCAGTGCTGTGGGGAGGAGGGGAAGAGTGAGGCGTGTGAGAGAGAGAGGGACGGAGAGAGAGGTGTGCGGGTGAGACGCGGGTGCGGCGCGGCAGGGAAGAAAACCAGAACCCCACGAAGCATGTGGGGAAAAAATACAGAGTACACTTGGCGGCGGCGGCGGCGGCGGCTGCGGCGGGGGCAGCGACGGCGGCTGCGGCGGTGGCGGCGGCGGTGGCGGCGGCGGCGGGGGCGGCGGGGGCGTCGGCGGCGGCGGCGGCGGTGGCGCGTGGCGGCGGCGGCGCAGCGGTGGCGGCAGCGGCTGCGGCGGCAGCTGCTGCGGCGGCGGTGGTTTCGCAGCGGGGGGCGGCGGCGGCAGCGGCGGCGGGCGGCGGCGGTGGCGGGACGCACGAGGACCCCAGGACCGCCAAGAGGCGCCCCCAGAGACGCCCCAAGAACCCCCAAACAGTTCGCAATTGTCCTCCCCCTCCCTCCTCCTCCTCCTCATCCTCCTCGCTCCGTCTCCTCCTCCTCCCTCCTCTACCCCCTGCCGCCTCCTCCTCTCCTCCGACTTTCCTCCTCCTCCTCCTCCCTCCTCCTCCTCCTCCTCCTCCTCCTCCTCCTCCTCCTCCTCCTCCTCCTCCTCCTCCCCCTCCTACTCCTCCTCCGCCTCCCGCCTCCGCCCCGCCTCCGCCCCCTCCTCCTCCTCCTCCTCCTCACTCCTCCTCCTCTCCTCCTCCTCGCCGCCGCCGCCGCCGCCGCCTCCGCCTCCGCCTCCGCCTCACGCTCCGCGCCTCCGCCTCCGCCTCCTCCTCCTCCTCCTCCTCCCCGCGTCCTCCCCCCTCCTCCTCCTCCTTCTCCTCCTCCTCCTCCTCCTCCTCCTCTCTCCTCCTCCTCCTCTCCTCACTCTCCTCCTCCTCCTGCCTCCTCCTCCTCCTCCCTCCTCCTCCTCCTCCTCCTCCTCCTCCTCTCTACCTCCTCCTCCTCCTCCGCCTCCGCCTCCGTCTCCGCCTCCTCCTCCTCCTCCTTCTTCCTCCTCCTCCTCCTCCCTCCGCCTCCTCCTCCTCCTCCCCTCCTCCTCTCTCCTCCTCCTCCTCCTCCTCCTCCTCCGCCTCCGCCTCCGCCTCCGCCTCCAGCCTCCGCCTCCGCCGCCGCCCGCCTCCGCCTCCGCCTCCGCCTCCGCCTCCTCCTCCTCCTCCTCCTCCTCCTCCTCCTCCTCCTCTCCTCCTCCTCCTCCTCCTCCTCCTCCTCCTCCTCCTCCTCCTCCTCCTCCTCCTAGCTGCCGCTGCAAGCTCAGACAGCGATGCCAGCCCGCAGGCAACGCTGGAGGGCAGGGGCGGGAGCGCGCACGCCCACATCTTCGGCAGGGCGCGGGGAAGGGGGGCAGGGAGGTAGCAGCATTCACACACCATTATTTTTTCTCTTTGCATGTATGCGCATCTGCCCCTACAACCCTATCGCCAGCAACTTCTCGGAGCGAATAGAAGATAGATCAGCGGAGCTCAGATCATGGGACCTCATACTGTTGAACGGCACCCAGAAAAAGGCACTCCCTGACCAAGCAGAAGAGAGGCACAATCACATCAGGCACTGGAGCATCAGCTGTGGGTACAAGAAAGGGAGATTGATAAATTCCAGCTGCGGCCTGAGCTTCCTAGTCACACACCGCATAAGGAGGGAAGCACTGCACGAGATACTAAGACCACCAGCTGGACTCCAGGGACGTGTAGCAGGCATAAGATTAAAAGATAGTAAGTATGACTTCACAGTGTTCAATGTTTATTTTGCGGCCGTCCATGACAAGAACCACGCTGAGATAGCAAAAAAGATCACGGCATGGCTCGAAGAGCAGATGGACATGTTGCCCACGCGCACCACGATCATCATAGGAGGGGACATAAACTCGGACGTCGGCCTGTACAGAGACGGCGACGGTACGGTCGTCGTGGATCGAGGTAGGCACAGTGGACAAGTGGCGCCCAAGTTGGAAAATCAGAATGGCAAGCAGCTCAGAGAGATGTGCATGGCAAGAGGAGGCGCAGGCGAAGATCAGCATCTCGCAGTGGGTAGAGCAGGCGGAGTCGGAGGCGGGGCAGGCGTTCGTAGGGGAGACGATCAGGATGTTCAAAGTGAGCGACACGTTCAGGGCGGACGACGAGATGGACGACGGGAAGCGCATGACGAAGGTGATGTTCGCCCTCAGCCCACACTACGACATCACGACGGCCATGAAGCAGATGAAAATCCAGCCGACAGGGGCCAAGCCTCCGACGGAGTTCAACGGAGTGCGGCTCCTCCAGGCCATGGGAGTGGCGTTGCACAAGGCGGGAGGGCACAGGCCAGTGGGGAGCGGGCCGAAGGAGGAGCTAGACAGGGTGGTCGAGCGCCAGCTGAAGGCGCTGCAGAAGAAATGATTGTGATCATAGGCAGTCGGTCCGAGAGAGAAGCAGAGTTTGTAGCAGCAATGCAGTCAGACCCCATGGCCAAGATAGCTACCGACCCAGTTGCAATGACTAGACTTAGGCAAATGCAGGCTGAAGGGTCGCAGCACGCTAAGAGACTTTTAGAGAGAGCAGAGATTTTTCGTTCTAAGTTTAGTGCAGAGCTGAGAAAGCTAGAGAATGAGTAGAGGGCGTGTTTCCTTCTGTCGTGGGCCTACTGGCTGGCCCTGGTAGGCGGGTCCTGGCCATTGTGGCTCCGTCGACCAGGAGACGGCTGGTGGGCTGACGGGAGAAGGCCGATGCCCTGCCCAGCCTCGGCTGCGCGCTGCCAGGGAGCAGCAGCCGCCAAGGCCACCCCATCTCCGCCTCTTCCCCCCCCCCTTTAAGTGTGGCCTCCCTCCTTCTTCTTCTCCCTCCCGTGTGCGCCGAATGCGGGTGCCTTCCCGCTCAACGGGGCACCCTCCCGCCTCAACGAGGCAGAGGGCCGCCCTGAGCATGCGCCCGTGCGAGTATAGACGATGCAGGGCGCGTGAGAGATCCACGCAGGGGAGCTCGAGACGCTGTAGCAGCAGCTGGACATGCACCCCCGAGCGCAGAGCCGAGCCGAGCCGAGCCTCCTCCTCCTCCTCCTCCTCCTCCTCCTCCTCCTCCTCCTCCTCCTCCTCCTCCTCCTCCTCCTCCTCCTCCGCCTCCGTCTCCGCCTCCTCCTCCTCCTCCTTCTCCTCCTTATCCCTCCTCCTCCTCTCCTCCTCCTCCTCCTCCTCCTCCTCCTCCTCCTCCTCCTCCTCCTCCTCCTCTCCTCCTCCTCCTCGCCATCCTCCTCCTCCCTCCCTCCCTCCCTCCCTCCCTCCCTCCCTCCCCCCTCCCTCCTCCCTCCCTCCTCCTCCTCCTCCTCCCTCCTCCCTCCTCCCTCCTCCCTCCTCCCTCCTCCCCTCCTCCCTCCTCCCAGCCTCCCTCCTCCCTCCTCCCTCCTCCCTCCTCCCTCCTCCCTCCGCCCTCCTCTCTCCTCCCTCCTCCCTTCCTCCCTCCTCCCTCACTCCCTCCTCCATCCTCCTCCTTCCTCCTCCCTCCTCCCTCCTCCCTCCTCCCTCCTCCCTCCTCCCTCCTCCCTCCTCCCTCCTCCCTCCTCCTCCTCCCTCCTACCTTCTCCCTCCTACCCTCCCCTTCTCTCCCTCCTCCCTACCTCCTCCTCCCTCCTCCCTCCTCCCTCCTCCCTCCTCCCTCCTCCCTCCTCCTCTCCTCCTCATCCCTCCTCCTCCTCCCTCCTCCCTCCTCCCTCCTCCTCCTCTCCTCCCTCCTCCCTCCTCCCTCCTCCCTCCCTCCCTCCTCCTCCCTCCCTCCTCCCTCCTCCCGCCTCCCTCCTCCCTCCTCCTCCCTCTCCCCCTCCTCCCCTCCTCCCTCCTCCCCTCCTCCTCCCTCCCTCCTCCTCTCCTCCTCCCTCCTCCCCTTCCTCCCTCCTCCCTCCTCCTCCTCCCTCCTCCCTCTCCCTCCTCCCCTCCTCCCTCCTCCATCCTCCCTCCCTCCTCCCTCCTCCCTCATCCCTCCTCCCTCCTCCTCCTCCTCCTCCTCCTCCTCCCTCCTCCTCCTCCTCCCCCTCCTCCTCCTCCGCCTCCTCCTCCGCCTCCTCCTCCTCGCCCGTAATGTATCCCCCTCCTCGTCCTCCTCCCCCTTCCCGCTCTTCCAGGTGCTCCCTCTTTTCGCCGCCTGAGCCCATCTTCCTATCGACAACCCGCGCGCGAGGCCTCCGCGGGCGCCGGTGCCGCCGCCCCTGACGGGCGCGGCACCGGCGACGCGCGCGGGAGCGGCGACGCCACCGGCCGGGCTGGCGCAGGGGCCTCGGCCTGCAGAGAAGGCGGCAAAAGGAGCGGGAGCGGGAGTAAGATGAGGAGGGGGAAGAGGAAGAGGAAGAGGAAGACGAAGAGGGGAAGGGGAGGAGGAGGAGGAGGAGGAAGAGGAGGAGGAGGAGGAGGAGGAGGAGGAGGAGGAGGGACGAGGAGGGAGGAGGAGGAGGAGGAGGAGGAGGAGGAGGAGGAGGAGGAGGAGGTGGAGTGGGGGGAGGGGGAGGAGAAGGAGGACGAGGAGGAAGGAGGAGGAGGAGGAGGACGGAGAAGGAGGATGAGGCGCACGACGGCTGCTAGCTGGGGCACGGGGGGGTCTCCACCACATGTGGGGGCGTTGCCTGGTGAATGGCGGCTCTGGCCCCGCGACCTTAAAAAAGGGGGATGGGCTGTCGAGGCGTGGAGGTGCTGAGTCTGGAACACCTGTCGACACTCCACCTCCGAGTCAGCGGCGGCTTGGATCCGAGACGCGGCTGGGACAGCCAGGGGACACGCTGGAGCCGAAGTGGGCACAGCAGCAGAGCGGGACGAGGCTCGGCTGGGGGGGAGATCCTCGAGCGGCGGAGCATGCCACGTCCTCCTCAACGGTGCCCACAGTCTGCACGGAGTCTCCACTCACACACACACACACACACATCCCCATGCCCCCTGCTGACCCCATCGGATCTGGGCCCTACGGGGCGTCGTCCTCTTGCGGGGTGGGGATGATGCGATGAATGCGGACTGCCTCCCCCCTCCTGCCAGGCCTCCGCATCGCTCCGTCTCATGCCCCCCCCCTTTCCCTGCACTGACCCAGTGGCCCCCGCCCAACTCCATCCCCGTTGCCCGCGCGCAGCGGGCAGAGGCAGGTCGAGGCAAGAAGCGCATCGAGCATCTGGGCGAGGACAAAAAATCGCAGCAAACGAGATATCGTAGAGCACCAGCCATAGAGCACTCACAGTGCAGCACTCGCAGCAAACTAGACATCATATGGCACCAGTCAAAGAGCATCACCCATAGAGCACCAGGGCGAGAACAGGAAATCGCAGCAAATGTAGCATCGTAGGGCACCAGTCATAGAGCACAACCCACGCATTAACAGGGTAGGAATGAGCAATCACAGCAAATGGAGCATCCTACAGCACCAGCCAAACAGCAACACCCGTAGAGCACCAGGGTAAGAATGAGCAGTCGCGGCAGATGCCTCAAGTTCGTTCCAGACCAAGCAAGAGAAACCCTCAGTGCAAGCGCTGCCTGGAAATCCTGCCTACCACCGTCTTTGCCTCCGCCATCGTGCCGTGAGAACCGAGCGGGGCGTCGTGAGGTCGCGCCGTGCCACTCCTCAGTGCACCCCGCACCGTCTTGCAGAGGCAGCCGGCCGGCGATGCCGGGGCCTCGCCCAGTCGCCGCACGTGGCCCGAGGAGGCCTTTTCAAGAGACCCCCAGGAGGACTCAGGGGAGCCCTGCCGACCACGACCCAAGGTGGCGGGAAGATGGGCTCAAGGCCGACAGAGGATGGGTCCGCTTGTCCTGATGTATCGTCCTCGCCCATTGCGTGCCTTCCCTCCTCCTTATCGAGTTCTCCTCCTCCTCCTCCTCCTCCTCCTCCTCCTCCTCCCCCTCCTCCTCCTCCTCCTCCTCCTCCTCCTGCTCCTGCTCATGCTCCAACTGCCTTCATTCATCACAGTTTCGTACAAAACGACTGCGTCTTCTCGCGTGAACGAGTGCACTGTTGCATAAAAACCTCCTCCCTCGAGCAGGAGGATGAGCCAGACGGAAAAAGGGAAGGAGTAGGAGGAGGAGCAGGGAGGGGAGAGGGGAAGAGGAAGGGGAGAGGGGAGGAGGAGGATGAGGAGGAAGAGACTAAGGGGAGGAGGAGAAGGAAGAGGATGAAAGAGAAAGGAGGATGACGGGGCATGATGACGAGGAGGACGAGGGAGGAAGACGAGAGGGATTCAAAAAAAATGAGGATGAGGAGAAAGAGAAGGAAAAAGAGGAGGAGGAGGAGGAGGAGGAGGAGGAGGAAGGAACATGGGAGGTGCATTTGAAAGGGGAAAGGGAAGGAGAGAACAAGGAGGCGAAGGAGAAGGCGACAAAGAGAATGAGAAGGCGAGGGGAACGGGAGGAAGTGAAGGAAGGCAAGGAAGTACGAGGGTGACTAGACAGGGGCAGGCAACAGAGAACGGGGAGAGAGGAGGAGGAGGAGGAGGAGGAGGAGGAGGAAATGGACGAGGAGGAGGAGGCGGAGGAGGAGGGGGAGGAGGAGGAAGGGGAGGAGGAGGGGGAGGAGGAGGGGGAGGAGGGGGGGGAGGAGGGGTAATTTGCGGGGACAATTGCAGTCTGTCAATAACTACTTGATGCACGATGGCACCCAGTGCCGTCAAACGCTTGCGATCGCTGGAGGCGTCCACTGGTGCACATTGCTGAGGAGGTGCTGGCCTCCACGCGAAGATGCCCGATGAGAAAGCAGGAAAACTGGAGATGGGAGATACGAGAGCGAGGAGAGCGACGACCGTCACAGCAGACCACTGGTCAAAAATTGCTCCCTCGGCTGCGCGTGCAGCGCGTCCAAGCAAGCAGGACTGCCACGAGACAGAGGAAACATGAGTGCGGGCGAGACATGACTAGAACGTGGGTGCCAGGAAAACCACGCTACAATCGCTCACCGTCGTGTGGCATGGGCACTCAACTCTGCTGCCTTCTCCTGAGCACCCTGGCGTGGCTGTATGCGAACCTCTGGGGCTGCGGCGAGCTGCGAGGGCTGGAACGCTACTCATATGACCGCGCAACCACGCTTCGGGTTCTTCATGTCGTGAACCCGTCGGTCTAACCGCTGGTGTGTTCCTCTCGCGCTTAACTGCAGATGAGGAGGGGGAGGATTCCAGGAATTCCGCCATCACGTAGTGAATAGGAGGAGGGGGAGGAGGAGGAGGAGGGAGGGAGGGAGGGAGCTGGCGCAGTGCAAGGAAGGGCGAGGAGAGGTTATGAGATCAAGGCAGACATTGGACGGTCCTGCTCCACTCGAGATATCGACGACCCTGCAAGACGTCGCATCTGAAAAAGAGGTAGGTGGGATGGAGCAGGAGCGGAAAGCGAGCGAACGAGAGGGCAAGGCGGGTGGGGAGAGGGGAGGCGACGGGACGGGGCAGCAGGCTCATGCTCCATCGCATGCCCCTCCTCCTCCTCCTCCTCCTCCTCCACCACCTCCTCCTCCTCCTCCCTCCTTCCTCCCTCCTCCCTCCTCCCTGATAAGATCACAACTGGCCTCCTGTATGTCCTCCGACGGGCCGATGCTCAAGATCGTCCTCAGCTGACACCAGAGATGCTGGACAAAGCTGTGTCTGGCATGAATGAATGGCAAGAAGGCGAAGGGTGTCGACGCCATGGGTCCGATCGAGGTTCAGCGACTTCCATCTCAGGCTCGGGCACAGTTGTTGACGCTCATTCAGAGTGCACTGGCATGTGGCCAGAACAGGTTTTCATGGTGCTTGCAGCGGTTGCCCCCAAGCCGCGAGGGGGTGATCGCATCCTGGGATTAGTGCCGTTCCTGGTCAAGCTGTGGAGCAAGATGCGGAGTCCAGATTCGCTCAATTGGACCATCGAAGCGGACGAGCATTGGGACACTGCGATCAGGGGGTCGTCCGCCCTCCAGGCGGCCTTGATACGGTCTCTGATGGACGAGACTTGTCAGGAGATGAAGATATCTGCGGCAACACTCTTGCGTGATTTGGAAACAAATATGATAGCATTTCGATTGTGAAGATGTGCGCCGCGGGGCTCCAGCAGGGGTTCCCCGCGATCATCCTGGCGCTGGAGCTGCAGCTGTTCCTGGCGCCAAGGCATTTGAAGGACAGGCTGTGGCTGAGCAAGGATATCCAGCCAGAGAAGAGCTTGGTGGCAGGGTCCTTGCAGAGCGGGCGCCTCGCGAAGGCGCTCATGGGTCCCATTTTGGCGCGAGCCAATGCTAGATATGGGTTTCAGATCCTCCTCCGCGCGTTCGTCGACGACACCGTGGTCAGAACAGAAGGGACGTAGCAGCGCGTCGGCGACCTCATGATCGAGTCCTGCGCAGCCCTGTCGCAGGACTTCGTCGACGCAGAACTCACGATCCGCCCCAAGACGGTGGTGGTGGCATCATCGCCGAAGCTCTCGGCTCGTATCGCCAAGGGCCTGCAGCGTGCAGGTGTCCCTGCCACAGCTGTGAGACACCCGGTGGATCTCGGAGCAGACACAACGTCGGGCAGATCACGCACTAGAACGAAGGCGAGAGAGCGCTTCCAGAAGGCGAAGAAGCGCACCATGGCCATCAAGAGGATGAGACGTCATGCTCGCCTGCGAGTTATCACTAAAGGCCTATGGAGTACGGGCTCAAAGCCGCAGGGCACGTACTCACATCAGACTTTCGGAGTGCCAACTCATGAGTTGGTTCAGCTGCGCCGCCAGGCGTCTCAGAGTGCAGTGGATACTGGTCCTGGCAGATGTTTGACTACTGCCTTGGCGGCGGTGTACGACAGGAAGGACCCTGCCAAGACCATTCGTCGTGAACAGGTTCTTGATGGGCTGAAGATTTGGCGCGAGTGCCCCGACTTCCATTTGAGGATTGCAAAATCTTGGGAGCGCATTCGTTGCCGTTTGCGCCTGGCGGGCTCGCGCTGCTGGAGAATTGTACGAGGACCGATTGCAGCGACGATAGCGACACTCCTCGACATCGGCTGGGATCCTGTTTCTCCGATGGAATGGGATTCTGATCAGCACTACACTTGGAGGATCCCTTCTGTGGTCGATTCGCAGTTTGATTCGTTCCACAATGATTTCACTCATATTCTTGATGATATCGAAGCCACTGTTGACGGACAGTTGTGGCACACCGCCTCCAAGCACGAGTCCGCGGACGACCTGGCCGAGGGAGCGGACATGTACCAGGTCTGCCGCGAGCCCCGCAGGCTGCAGCCCGACGACGAGGGCGACAACTGGGCGCTCAACGCGGTGGTCGTCACGGGCGGCCAGTGGCCTCGTGAGCGCCTGCGTGCTGCTGGATACCAGGTCTCGGCTGAATGTCAAAGGTGCAAGAAGGAGGCCGAAACTCGTTTTCACCGAGTCTGGGCTTGTGAGGCCAACGTCGGCCACAAACATTTCGAACAGTCTGAGTCCCTGGTCGTGCGTGCCAGGACAAACCATAAGAGCTGCCCGAGTGTTTGGCTCCGAGGGGTCCCTGGTCGGTCTGAGACGGTCCCCACCTTTGAGGATAAGCATCCTGTCCGAATTAGTTTTGGCACCCTTGGGAACGTTCCCAGAGACGCCGAAGGTTTCGTTACCTTGTTTGGGGATGGGTCGGGTGGGAGGTTTTCTGATTACCCTCGGCGTCGAAGGGTCGGCTCGGGTTGGGTAGGAATGGCCCCAGATGGACCATGTTGGAAACCTGTTTGGGGTCTGGGCTGTTCGATCGCGGGGCGCAGACAGACTGTGCCCCGTGCGGAGATAGCTGCGTTTGCGGAGGCCCCCGAGGCCACGGTCGGGGACCTCAGGCTCGTCACGGACCATCGGCCATTGCTGGACGCCTGGGCCAGGGGATCTGCGTCGTAGGAGCTGCCGAGCAGCGGCGAAAATCTCGACCTCTGGGCCAGGATCCAGGATTCGATTCGTGCGCGGGGCCCCAGTCGCATTGAGCTCCTGTGGGTCCCCTCCCATCAAGAGGAGGTGGCTTCGCTCCCAGAGGCTCTGCGGTTTCAAGTTTTCGGTAATGAGTGTGCCGATGCCATTGCGAGTGAAGCTGCAGAGTTAGCGTGGTCTGAATTCGTGGTTCAGCCCCCCCCCCTTCTCACGGATGTGCGGGACGCTGAGGCGGCCCTGATCCGCCGTCGGGCGCGGAGAGCTTTGGCCGCCTCCATCCATGCCGATCCGTGGACCTCGGAGCGACCCGAGAGAGAGGGGGGGGCCCACTTCCCAAGTTAGCGCGAGCTTTGAAAGACTCGGAGCATTCCTGGGGTCGGGCGGGTGCTAAGTTTTATTGCCGTAAATGTAACCTGTTTTCGAATCAGGATTCGATGTTCCAGATGTGCCTCACCCGCTGCTGCGTGAAGGTTCTCCCTGAGTTTTCGCCTCTTCGGGGTCCCCAAAGAGTTTCGGGGAAAGACCTGCACCCGACTCACACGCTGCAGCGATGGGCCAAGTTTGATCTGGTCTTCTGCACGAAGTGCGGCAAGACATGCACCACCGAACCCCGCCAACTTGCGAAGAAGTGTGAACCATCGGCTAAAGGCAGTCAGAATCTTGCTAATATCCGCGCGGGCAAGTACCCGCACCCGTCAGGTCCCCCGCGTGCGGTGCGTGAAGCGGAGTCACAGAGGCTCCTTCGGAATTCAAGTATGCAGAAGCCATAATGCAGTTTCTATATGTTGCCAATTCATCGGCTTCGCCGCCTTTCCGTCGTAGACTTATGCTGCTGTCTTCATTCTGAAACGTCCTGAAACGTTTTCCTCCTCCTCATCCTCCACCTCCTCCTCCTCCTCTTATTATTATTCTTAGTATTCGTCTTATTCTTCTTATTATTACTAGTATTAGTATTATTATTATTATTACTCTTATTATCAAAATTCTCAGTATTAGTCTTCTTATTATTATTCGTATTATTATTATTCTTATTATTCTTCTTATTATGATTATCTTAGTAATATGATTATTCGTACCATTCTTACTAGTATTATTCTTATTATTATGATTGTTCGTCTTGTTTTTCTTCTCATTATTCGTATTATTATTATTATTCTTATTATTATTTGTTTATTTTTCTTATCCTCCCTCCTCCTCCTCCTCCTCCTCCTCCTCCTCCTCCCTCCTCCTCCTCCTACGCCTCCTCCCCCTCCTCCCTCCTCCTCCTCTCCTCCTCCTCCTCCTCCTCCTCCTCCTCCTCCTCCTCCTCCTCCTCCCTCCTCCTCCTCCTCCTCCTCCTCCCCTCCTCCTCCCCTCCTCCTCCTCCGCCTCCTCCTCCCCCCTCTCTCTCCTCCCTCCCCCTCCGCAGCCTCGTCCTCGAACGCGCGCCAGATCGCGAGGGCCAAGCAACGGGCACGGAGCACAGAGGCGAGCACTCGAGGCGGGGACGGTGACGCACGCCTGGTGGAAGGCCTGCCCGTAGCTGCGGAGCGCTGCCAGCGAGAACCACTCTGGCGCGTGCACGCCGGTCGCCGCCGCGGACGCCAGGGCTACGCCGCCAGCGCGGGCCATGGCGCGCGGCTCGACAGCTCGCGCGCGCGCCTGGAGGCTGGCAGCACGCTCGGCGAGGTCGGGCGTGTCCCCTACAGGCGGATCTTGGACGAAAAATGTTATAAATCCGAAAATATTCAATAATGGTCAGAAATAATCGGAAAATCGTCCCCTGACTATTTTTGACTATATTTGAATATTCCTCCTGCAGCTCGGATCTGCAGAAAGCACGTATACGCCACCAACACCGGCAAATGCCTGGCCAGGGCCATCCAGGGCCTGCAGGATGGCGTACGGGCTCTCCTGGCCTCGGCAAGGAGGGCGTGCACACCATGCCAGGGAGCATGATCGCCCTCGCCAGCATTGTGGTGGTGATGGTGCATGGAGAACTTCTGCACTCTGCGGATTGGGACGCTTCCGGGGGGGAGCTGGGAAGAGTCTCGCCGGAGACACAGTCAGGAACGGAGCGGGATCTCGCTGAGCCCATGGGATAATTGGCCTCTGAAACGGGGCATGCGCGGCTCCTGCTTCTGTGGGTCGGGTTGGGGCTCTGAGACCCGAGGGTTGACGAGGAGGAAGAGGAGGAGGAGGAGGAGGAGGAGGAGGAGGCGGAGGCGGCGTCAACGATGAGCCTACCCTGGGCAAATCTACCCGACCGCCCTCCGATTGGGGAAGCCCCCAGGGCACGCGGGGTCAAAGATGGCACAGGAGAGCACCTCGAAGAAGTAGAACGGTATATTTCGGGGGGGGGGGGGGGGGCACTCCAGAGCACCTGGGCCATCACAAGAGAAAGCCATGGAAGCACATGCAACAGAAACTGCCACATGCGAAGACTCACCTAACCGCCAAGCAGAGTCTGGCGTTCCCAGCGCTGCGCGGTGGAGACCACAGCACGCGCAAGGCACAGGGGAGGCACGACGCGGAGGCGCCCAAGGAAGGGCCGCATGGTATTGTCGAAATGCGCCTCATCATGGACAGGGGGGACTCGGACGAGTGCCACAGGGCAGTATACGACATCATGTACCGCACCATCTACTGCGAGAGGACCGAGCACCGTCGGACCTGCCAGAACGAATCCAGCAGCAGCCCAGCTGCGGAAACGGGGTCCAGGGACGGCAACCATGACCACCATCTCTAATCCTACCAAGTCGCCACAACCTACCGACGCTGCCTCCACCCGCCACACTCCCATCAAGGGATGTGCGGCCACCGAGCGCAGGGAGCAGCTGCACCTGAAGCAACGGCCCCAGCACAGCTCGGCAACTCCGAACCACTGCCTTGTGCTGCCTGCAGGACCCATGGCACGGGCCACCCTCACCGTGAGGAGCACCAGCATCAATTCCCACATTCCCCAGCGTCAGACCTCTGCAGCTGCAGCTGCCCACGTAGAGCGCAGCTGTCCCATGCCTCCCCCAGTTTTGCTCCACGACCGCACGACCACTACTCAGCTGGCTCCTACCTTCTCCACAACTCTCACTCCCATACCACACCGTGGCGACGCACTCACTGCCACCACGGAAGCAGCAGCACCACCAGCAACCACGCGACACGGCAGCGGCGGCTTCTCCACCTGCGTAGCAGGGCACAGCGCACGCCAACTCCAGCACACGCCTACATCCACAACTGCAACCTCCTCTACTACAGCTACTTTGCCTTCTTCCATGTCACCAAATCCATGGACAACGGCGACGTCCTCACCTACACCTTCTGAGGCCCCTCCAGGCACCTCCTAACCTTCACCTCCCTCACCTCTTCTTCCTGCAGGCCCCCCTCGCCCCTCGCTTTTCGCCCGCTAACCTTCTTCACATCACCCCTGTACTGCCGCACACCAGGCAAGGGGATGCGGGAGGCGAGACGCCGGTGGAGAGAGGAGATCCGAAGGCGCCACATTCGGCACTGGCCGCTGTTGGGGAACACAGCCTCCACAGCGACCGTGGACCAAGTGGCGGACAACTGAGAGCCACGCCGAGGGGGCCACCAGGGTGGTGGCCCCACTCGGGGCACCTCTCCTCACTCCTTCACTTTTTCCCACCTCTCGAACTCTCCCTCCGCCAGGCCCTTCACACGCTCCGCGCCTTGGCAACCGCTCTGCGCCCACGCTCCCTTCGGTGGCAACTCATGGGAGCCTCCCGTACCATCTTGTCGGCTCTTGCGAGTCGACGCTAATCGACACCAATCGACGCTAGATCGACGCTAACCGACGCGAACCGACGCTAAATCGGCGCTATATCATCGACTCCCATACGCTGATCGACGCTAGTCGACGCTAAGGACGAATGGAAAAGGTATACCAGGCTCCCACGATTTGCTACCGAACGCTCCCTCTCTACGTGCACCCCCGCCTGCACCGCCCACTCCTGCCGCCTGCCGCCGCGCCGCACCGCACCTCCTCCCCGCACGCTCCTTGGCTTAGGTCGGGCATGTGCTCCTACAGGCGAATCCTGGACGAAAGGTAAAAAATCTTTTAACAAAAAATCGAAAAGAATAGCCAAAGACATGCCAAAAGTCGTCCCCCGACTATCTTTCGCCTCTTTTTGACTGTGCCTCCTGTAGAGGGGTAGAGGGACACGTCCGACTCAATCCTTGGCCCTCCGGTGCCTCAGGCGAGGGCGGTGGGCCCCCCTCCGGGTGCGGCGCGCCGAGGTGGTTCCCGGTTCCCCCCCATCGGGGGCTGGGGCCCACGCTCGTGCCCTTAGCCGCACGAGCACACGGGCCGCGACAGGCAGCCTCCCCCGCCCCCCTCTTCCCCGCTACTTTTAGTACCACTACTTCGACTACTACTACTACTACTACTACTACTACTACTACTACTACTACTACCACTACTACTACTACTACTACTACTACTACTACTACTACTACTACTACTACTACTACTACTACTGCTACTGCTACTGCTACTGCTACTGCTACTGCTACTGCTGCTGCTACAAATACTACTACTACTACTACTACTACTACTACTACTACTACTACTACTACTACTACTACTACTACTACTACTACTACTACTACTACTACTACTACTACTACCACTGCGACAACGACTACTCTCGACTACACGAAAGAGCGACCCTGGGTAAGGGCGACCTGTGGTGCGCAACCTCTTGGGGACCGCGGGGGGACCAAACACGAGCGCGCAGAACGCTACTACCGCATCGCGCTCGGCGATCAGGGGGCCCCACTGAGCCCGCACCAAAGGTCACCCTGGCGAAGGGTCACTCTTACGTACTCTGGCGAAGGGTCACTCTTACGTGTTGTCGACTCTCAGGTGCATCATCTCCGACGGCGCGCATGCACCGCACCGTGTCTGGACTCCCTTCAGGCCCCGCCCAGGCGCGGTACGGCGCACAGTTCCCTTGCTGTGGGGACCGAGAAACTGCGCACCGAACCATTCCTGGGTCGAAGACCGATGACGCCTCAAGAGGCGTCAACGCGGCACGGTGCACACATGGGCGATTCTGGAAACCCTGAACCAAAAAACGTTTTCATCTCTGGGGAGGTCGACATTTGCTTCCGCCGCTTTCCGCCGAGTTTCCGCAAGCTTCCGCCGGCGGAGCCACCGCTGTTTTCCTGCCGCCGCCTTCCGCCGACCTTCCGCAGACTTCCGCCGCAGAAAAGATGACAACTCCTTGGATCCTCGAAAACAAGGCCATCTTTGAAACGCCTCATATGTCGTCCGCGGGTATCTCTCCCACCCCGTAAATATTATCCGGCGTTTCGACATTGGGCGGAAGGAGTGGGTGAGGGGAGGAGTCTGGCTCCAGACCTCTGCTTACTGCGACTGTTGCAACAGTGCGTCCCATGGGGGAAACTCCGCCCGCTTGAAACACGCGTCAAAAACAACCAAAATCTTCTCCATGTGGGGGGGGGCGCGAGAGCCCGCGCCGATCGGCAAAACAATAAATAGGAAAACGGCGACCTCTCGGCTTTGGGGTGCGAGGGCCCGCGCCGATCCACGAAACAACGGATAAGAGAACGACGACCTCTCCGTTTTTGGGTGCGAGGGCCCGCGCCGACCGGCGAAACAACGAGTAAGAAAACGACGACCTCTTGTTTTTGCCCACCCCCTCCCCATGCACCTGGCGGGCGAAGGGGTCGAGGGCGGCGGGGGGCGGTTGCTCGACAGCGCCCACAGGTCAAAGGCCGAAGGAAAAGGAGGAGGAGGAGGAGGTGGAGGGGAAGGGAAAGGAAGGAGGAGGAGGAGGAGGAGGAGGAGGAGGAGGAGAAGGACGACGAGGAGGAGGAGGAGGAGGAGGAGGAGGAGGAGGAGGAGGAGGAGCGAGCGCCCGCGGGGCGAAGGACCCAGGCTCCTCAGGGCCCGCTTGCGCCCGCCGCGCGGCTCGCGGGGCGGCGGGGGCGGCGGTGTCCGCGGCGGCGACGCCGTCGCTGTCCAGCATGTGCACCTCGTTCGCGACGACGACGTTGTCAGCTGGGTCGCAGTCCGGGAAGGGCGCGCCATCCCCAAGGCGCGCGCCAAAGTCGGACGTGGAAGCGGCCTGGTCCCTGAAGGCGGAGTCCGACCCATCGTCGAAGGAGCCGTCGCCCTCCAAGACACCGGCGAGCGCCGCGACGCACTCGGGGTCGCTGTCGCCCAGCGGGAGGTCGTCGAGCAGCATCTCATCGTCGGCGGGCTCGTCGCAGAGGTCCACGAGGGCGCGCTCGACTGCCCCGTCGCCCGAGAAGATGTCGTCAAATGTGGGCCTGTGCACTGTCAGATCGGAGTCGGCAGCCGCATCAGAGCACGAGGCCGCCGACAGGCCTGCACCACCCTCTCCAGGATCAGGCCCATGATGCACCGCGGGAAGCCGATGTTCAGCAGGAAGCCCGCGGGCCCCTGAGGCGGCCCCCTCCCCGGGCGCTTCCTCAGGGGCCAATCCAGCAAAACAAAGCGAACGTGAGCCTGCGGCGTTCCCTCGCGCGGGGGCTGCCACGGGACCTAGCGATCCACGAAGCACAAGGCCCCAGGAAGGCCTGCAAGAGGTCGCAGATCAGCAAATTCAACATCAGGAACTGGAGCCACGCTGCCAGAGAAGCTCGTGGAAGGGGGGGGCACCATACCATCTCCAGGCCCCAGCGGAGCGATCGATGTCGGCGCGCCGCTCAGGAAGAAGAGGCGCTGGAGGAGCAGGCGGCCTGGACTGAGCAGGGCACTGGACCGAAAGCCAGCGCGGGACATCCGCGCCAGCACCAGGAGGCGGCGGGCCAGAAGAGCTCGCCGAAGGCCACGAGGGAGAGGCCCTGCAAGCGCCGACAGAGGAGCGCACCACACCGCGACCAGGAAGGCACTCATCATCCGATATCGCATCGTCCTCGCAAAAGCTCGGTGGCCGCCGGGGCGGGGCGGCGCGGCAGGAGCATTCAGGACCATGTCCAGGGTCCGACACCGACCGGCGGGAGTCGCCGGCGTCGGTGTCCCTGCCGACCATGTCCTGGTCGGCAGGGACACCGACACCGACCTGTCCTGGTCGGCAGGGGCAGGTAGCCGCGGGAGCCATCAGGACGGGGGGCATTCAGACGATCAAGACGACTGCATGGAGCGCAGCGAGCGACGCGGAGGAGCCAGCGGGTCGCCGACCAAAGGTTCACGCTCGCCTTGGCGGGCCCCGTCACCAGGGTCAGGAGCAGGAAACACACGGCGAAACGACGCGCCTCCAGGAACCAAAAAAATGAAACCAGCGGAAGAACTTGACGCGCCCGTCGAAAGGGATCCTCGAGGGGCCGGGGCGCCACCCCAGCATCCTGAAATGAAGGAGAGCATGAAGCCGCGCGGCTCTTCGAGCTGAAGCGGAACCAGGAAGACCAGCACGTAGCTGCCTGCGCAGACGCGCCCGATGGGATCGCACGCGCATGCCAAGCAGCGAAGCCGCACATCTCTTCCGCGACGTGGCGGAGTCGAGGGGCGGCGTCGCGAGCAGCGCGCTCGGAGGGGGGGGGGGAGAAGCCGTCGCAGCGCCAGGGCCCGCGCCATCCGCGCACCTGTCGAGAGTCACGCCTGGAAGTCGTCCTCCGGGCGCCCGCAGCAGATCGAGGGGGGGGGCCATGCTCTGGCCCATTCCGTGGCCCTGTCGGCGAGCTGTCGCCGTCGCAGCCTCGGCGCGCTGGAGGTCGGGCGGCGAGGGCGCCCCACCGCCGAGGGAAGTGCACGGCGCACACGCGCACGAGGTCGGGAGCCCAGGGGGGGGCAGGACGGGGGACAGGCGCACCACCACTAAGAGCGGGCCTGGCCAACGAGAAGTCACGCTTGTCTTCGCCAGTGCTTCGGAGCAGGAGTGGGGCGGAGAAGCCGTCGAGGTGGGTGCTTGCGGGTAGCTGGACCAATGGTTTTGTTCGATCTGAACAGTCGGGAAGCCTCCCCCTTCGCCCTGGATGCGGCGGGGGTGGCGAGCTGGGGCGGACAGCGAGGGCGCGAGACGCGCCCGTCCATCCCCCCCCCCCTCTGCCGCCCACCGCATCCGCTGACAGGCGCGAGCAGTGGCCGACCTGCCCCCCCGCCCCTCGGACCCGAACCGAGGCTTGAACCGTCGCCCGCCCGTTCGCGACAGCTCTGAGTCAGCGAAGGACCACGCCATGGAGCTTCCGCGCAGGTCGGCGAGGAGGCGGCCCCAACGCCCACGAGGTACAAGAGAGCGGCCATCCCCCATCAAAGAAGGAAACGCGACCGCTAGGCGCGCGGCAAAGCAGCCCCACAGCGGATGACGTTGAAGCTGAAGGCGAACAGCAGCCGAGACCGATCACTGAAGACCCCGCCCAGCGGTAGGCTCTTGTGCTCATGCAGTAACTGCTGCGACGGCCGCGCTGAGAATGCCTGTCTTGTATTCAGGAAAGCACGCGGATGCAGCTGCGGTAGAGGCCCTGCGGAGCGTTTCGCCTAAGGCTTCGGATTACCAGACAGACGGATAGGGCGAAGACGACGCCGCCTGACGAAGCGAGCGCAGGTCATCAAGCCGATCGCGCTGCCGAAGAAGCCAGTCCCGAAGACGCGCATACTCTGGCAGAGTGTGACGGGCAGCGCGGACCAGAGCCCCCACGCTGAGAGCAAGCCAGGGCGGAACCGATGGGCCGCCCGCAGCACGCAACTGCAGCCAGGCGGCCACGTTGAAGACGCCGAGGGGGGCCCTGAGGGAGCGAGAGAGGGCGACGAGCTCTTCTCGCAGGAGCCACCGCGGCATCATGCGGTACTGGGCCACGTACGAGAGCACGTGGGTGGCCCTCATGGCGCAGTTGTTAGCTAGCCGCGAGACGGCCAGAGCGTTGCTGCCAACCCTCTTGGAGCGCACCTTGACCTTCATGCCGGGGGCGCGCCGGCAAGATCCGCCGCCCGCAGCAGGACCAGGGACGAGGCCGAGGTGGACCAGGGTGCTGACCACCTGGATGGAGGAAAAGAACGGGGCCGAAACCACGAGGGCGCCCATGACGGCAGCGACCACTTGGGGCGAGAACTCGGCGCAGAGGGGAGCGCAAGCTTGAATTGCCGAGCTTGAGGGAGAGCGCCACGACGGCAGCCGCAATCAGCGCGACATCCGCCAGAACGCAGAGGGAGCGGAGGGAGCGAACGACGCAGCCAATGTCGTCGGCGCAAGCCCTCGCAAGACCATGACGGGGCGCCCCCAGGCGGTTCTGCGGGACGAAGAGGAAGCAGGCCGCGACAGCTGCATAGGTGGACCCGCTGAGCGAGCAGCGCTGAACGATGCCTGACGAGACCCACCAGGCACGCGCGGGGAAGCCACTGGGCATGACGACGGCCTCCAGGACGGGGCACAGCTGGTCCAGCACGGAGATGAAGGCGAAGGGCGCGCCCATCTGCGCGAACACCACGCGCGCGAACTCCAGGGAGAGGCGCGAGAAGGCCGCGCCAAAGCACAGAGCCACAAGCGCAGGCATGTCTCGGCTAGCCGATGGAAGGTTCGAGCAGACGCGCGAGGCCGCGTCGAGCTCGAGGGCGTCGACGCCGAAGCTGCGCGAGGGGGTGACCCACGCGGCGAGCGCGGAGCCCAGTCGACAAGCAGCTTGCCCAGCGGCAAGTCGAGCGTCGCGCCGATCAGCTCGACGTCGGCGCCCCGCAGCCCCAAGACACGAACGGGGCCAGCAGCGCGACCGCACCCAACCGAAAGAGAGCCCTCGGCCGCACCCCCCTCGGCGAGCCACACCTGCCAGGTAATGTTGGAGCTGTTGAAGAGGGCCCCACCGCGCATGATCCACATCAGCGCCCCCGAGAGCACCGCGAGGCCCGCCTCCGAGGCGGCCCAAGCAGAGCGCGGAATAGTCAAGGCCAGGATCGGAGCAGTGCATCTTGGAGGCCAGCTGCCGCAGAGGTCTCGGAGGAGGCGGGGGAACCTCGGCGACGTCGAGTTGGGGAACGCGCTGCGAGATGCAGGCCTGAGCGATGTCCTCGTCGATGGGGGCGATGGAGAAAACAAGAGCCCCGTGCCCCATGAGCCCTCCAGTCTTAACGGCTTCATCGGTCGCGATATCAGAGGCATCCGAAGAGGCCTTCGCACCGCGAAAAACGAAGCGACGGTTCAGTGGGGGCCACATCGCAGACACGCGCCCGGCGACTGACAGCTGCTTCTTCAGGAAGCGCGGTTCGCGCGGCCGAGCTAGAGCCGCCATAACTTGGGCCCCCTGAGCCTCGGACCGACGAAGTTGGACCCCCTCGCGCCAGCGTCGGACCGCAGTTTGACCCCGCGCCCCGCGACGATGAGAAAGTCGCGGGCCGCGCGACGGGGGCGACGAAACTTGAGGGCCAGACCGACGTCGCTGCGCCACGCTGCGCGAGCAAGCTGCCCGGCGAGCAGGAGTAGCGCGGCGATGGGCCCGGGGCCCGCGATGAAAGCCCCGTCGCGGACGGACCCCCCCGGCAACCTCCAGCACCACCCACTTGCGAAGCTCCACCTGCCTAGGCGGCGACGGCGACGCGTAGTCGAGCTGGGAGGAGACGTTGCGCAGCAGCTCCTGAAAGTAAGACGACTCGAAGATGCGCCGAGGGATCCCCTGAGCACAACGAGGCCTGAGACGCCGCTGCGCGGACTTCGCCCGGCGCGCCGAGCGGTCGCTGATGAGCTCGTCGGCAATAACCCCGCGCTCCGACGTGCTGCGCGAGGGCCCAGCCAGGCCAGCTCACCCAGCCTGTCGAGAATCGAAACGGAGTTGGAGCGCCTGTCGCGGCGGGTCGGCCCCTCGGACGCGCTCTCCGCGAAGCGGCGAAGAGCGCGCAGCCAGCGCGACGCACGCGAGCGCTGCGCTTTGCCTTCCGCGAGAGGCCGACAAGGTAGGCGAAGAAATAGGAGGCCCGATAAGAAAAATTGAAGTCACAGCGCACCATCACGAGCATGCGAATTGGGTCGCGCTGAGCAGCTGCAAAGTCCGACTCCATCGCAGCGAAGATCCGCCGCAACTGCTTGTGAGCGAGGTCGCGGTCGCGCACGTCGCAGCGAATCAAAATCGCCCCGCCCAAGCGAAGGGCCGCTCGTTGCACGCGCGCGGGGACGAAAGCAGCAGGCTGAGCGACAGCCGAACACCCCGCGGGAGGAATAATCGCCACGCCACCCTTGACCGCAGATCCCACGCAGTAGCTGGCGCAGGCGCGAAGCCCATCTGGCCTTGCCGCGCGCAACCCGGCAATGAAGCACCGCCCCGGCGTTCCACGAGGTGAAAGCCAAGAAGGCGCACCCAGCATGGGTCCGCGAAGCAGCACTGCGAACGGGTCAAAGACTCCACTCGGTCGTCTCTGGGGGGGCGACGATGGCCTTGGCCGCGGCGATGAGCGCAGCTTTGTCAAGGCCCAGATTGACGATAACATTGTCGGCCCAGGATAGATCGGTCGCGATGTTGCCAGGCTGCGGGGAAGCGCGGAGGACAGGATCCCACCCGACCATGAGGCAGCCGCGGTCGCGATCGAAGAACCACCTCTTGCTGTCGTCGACGTCGCGGAAGGCACCCCTGAGCTTGCGGCCCTGGATCTCCCTCTTGATTAGACGAAGGCGTCGCCACTGCCCTGGGGCCAGACGCTGAGCGCCGAAGACTTGGGCCGCACGACGGGCGGCAGGAGCGGCAGCACCCGCGAACTGAATCGCGAAGTGTTTGCTGACCTGGACGGGGGACACGGTGTCGAAGCAGTCGGCCTGCAACCCGATAAGGACGATCCAGTCGGACAGCACCTGCTTGACAGCATCGAAGTTGGCGAGCTTCGCCGACACCACCCGAACGACAGTAGAGCCGACGTCGCGCTTCAAGCCTGCGGCGGTGAGGAGCGGCTGATTCGGCCGCGTGTTCGCCACGGCGAGCGCGCCGCGGAGCTCCTGGATCTGCCCTCACATCGCGTTGATGGAGGCGTCCTTCTCGGAGACCTTAGCGTCGAGGGCTCGCAGCTTGACGGTCTGTCCATCAATCTGCTCCTGGAAGCGCCTCGCGAAGGTGCCCAACTTGCCACGACAGAACTGCGAGGGTGCGTTGGAACACACACTGAAAATGTGTTTGACACCTTCAGCAAGCTTAGCAGCAGAAGCAGAATGAGCGGCCAGTTGCGCGCCGAAGTCCTGGACCTGCTGAACGACGGCGGAGGAGACGACCGCGACGAGCTCGCCCACGAGTGCGTCGCGGTAGGGAACTATCTTGTCCGCGATGAGCTTCTCGGCGATGCGCACAATGTACTCGTCATCCCAGTCGCCATCATCACGCCAATCTTCTTCACGCCCGCCAGATTCACTGTGAATGGGAACGGGTACAGGAGGAGCAGCAGCACCAGGGGCACGAGGGAAGGCGCCGCCATGAGGAACTTCTCTTTGGACGGAGTATCCAGAGGTGTCGCCAGCACCAGGGGAGAGAGCATCACCGTCAACACCCCGAGCCTTCTTCTTGCGGCGCTGGACGGGCTTGGCGCCTGGGGCGAAGCCCGTGCGCGTGACCAGCTCGGGCATGACGATGAGCGCCGCAGGAACGGGAAACGCCTCCGTTTACCCACGGCGCCCAGCGTGAGGTGGCCCGCAGGCTCGCAGCGGCTGGGCAACTCACTGCGAGGATCGGAAGGTGACCAAACCTTGCGAGCTGGCCGCGGAGTAGCGGTATCCACTGGTTCCCCTGAGGAACTCATGGCCTTGAGCCAAAATGGCTAAGGAGGAGGAGGAGGAGAAGGAGGGGGAGGGGGAGGAGAGCCAAATACGGTGGACAAGGACGAGAACGAGTGCGAAAGGAGACCGGCGAGGAGAACGAGCAGCAGGAGCAAGTTGGCCCACCCACCACAGGACCGCACCCACCGCCACCAGCACCCCTCCCTCGACCTGCACCCTCCGTGCCCTCCGCGCGGCCACCTGCCGCGCCGCGGCGGCCAGCGCCGAGGTCACAGCAGCGCCCGCCGAGGCCGCAGCGGCGCTCTCGGCGGGCCGCGGCCGCGTCGCGGCAGCCCGATGGTATGGGAAGCGGGAGGGCACCCACCTCCACCGAGCCCCCGCCGGCGAACCCCAGCGATAGGGTCCGCAAGTGGTCGCAGAAGTGCCCAGCCTGCCTCTTCCGAGCCCTCCCCCCGAGACTCCTGGCCAAGACCGGCCGACACTGAGTCGGGAAATCAGGCCGGGCCGGACCGGGCCGCACCAGCACGGAGCCAGTCGAAGCGGACGGGCCGCGCCAGGACGCACAAGAAGGCCCCGTTTGCTCGGGTCGCACAGGATATCGTCGGCATATCGGAACCGAATCGGATCGGGCTGGCCGGAATCGACGTCGAGTCCCAGACATCCGGCGTCTCGATCTTTTCGAGACGCGGGCCCCCCGACCTCGCGACCACTTCCCCGGGACAGGTGTTTCGTTCTGAGTAGTTTTCCTGTTGACGGCCCCCGGAACCCGGTAAGGCCCCGAGAGGCCGAAAACGATGAAAAACCTGCCCAGAACCCCGAAGTCATGATTTTTGTTCATGACGTCGACCCCCAGAGGTTTCGACTTATTCCCCGGGACCGGTTTTTCATCCCGAGTCGTTCTTTGATGGTCCCGAGGCCCGGCAAGGGCCCCCGGAGGCCGAAAATGGCAAAAACCCTCCGTCGTGATGTCTTCCTTCCTCGAGGGGATCTGGGTCCGTCTCGATGTCTTCGCGACGCCACGATGGGTGGGGTCGGATCGACCGACGCCGAGGTGGCCCCAGCCGGGTGCGCAAGACAGCCTCTGGGCCCGCGGCGCGGGGGCTCTGCGCGGGCACGGCGCGCCCCGAGAGCGAGGCACAAAAGGGCGGGAGCCAGGAAGGCTCGTCGGCGCGCCCTGGGCAGGAGTCCCCCTCCTCCTCCTCCTCCTCCTCCTCCTCCTCCTCCTCCTCCTCCTCCTCCTCCTCCTCCTCCTCCTCCTCCTCACTTCCTCATTTCCTCACTTCCTCTTCCTCACTTCCTCCTCAGTTCCTCCTCACTTCCTCCTCAGTGCCTCCTCACTTCATCCTCACTTCCTCCTCAATTCCTCTCCTACTCACTTCATCTCCTTCCTAATCATCCTCTCAGAATCCGTAAACCTACTCCTACTCTCGTCCTCGTCATCATCCGCGTCTCATCATCCGCGTCATATCCTCCTCCTCTTCCTACTGCACCTCATCACTCCTCCTCATCATCATCATCATCAGCATAAAGGCATCATCATAATCATCATCATCATAATCATCATCAGTAATCCATCATCATCAGATAATCATAATCTCATCATTCATTAATCATCATCATCATCATTTCTTCACAGTACATGATTCAGTCATCATCATCATCATCATCATCTCAATAACATCATAACATCACAGCATCATCATAT